ATATATATATATATAGCAAGGGGGGAAATTAAGAAATGTTAGAAATTTTTAATGACAATGAGTTTTAACGCGCAGTACCGAAAGGGTCGAAACGAAAAACGTATGAATACTCGCAAAAAATTCCAACAGAACAACGTTATTATCAAACAATTTCTCTTTTTCTCGATTTGTTAAAAAAAAGAACTTGGTGACGACTTTGCACTCTCAAATTTGCACTTTTAAAGTTCTTTTCGAATAGTTTCGATTTACTGTAATTTCGATGTACTGTTCGTATGATACTGTAGCATATATCATATGATATATAGTTTCCTACACGATGAACGTTATAAGTATAATACGACAGTCGGATAATTATTAATAATATTAAAAGAAACACGGTAGTGACACGATGCGCTTATTGCTGTACTTTTTTAGTCATTCACACGTATTCGTATTGTAGACATCATTCTTGCTATGCGAAACAATTGTATCGTGCTTTAGTCGAGGTTATTTACTATACTTTGTATCATACATCATCTTTCCTTCTGAGATTCTTTTTTTTTTTCTCTCTCTCTCTCAACCCCTTTTCTCTCTGTTCCTTTTTTTTTTCTTTTTGTAACGAGGAAATAAAAATCATAAAATTCGTATTCGCACTCTATCCCCTTCATACTTCAGTATATTATTAATCCATCCTGTGGGCAGAAATTTTTTTTTTTTTTTTTTTTTTAAAACAAAGCAACTTTTAGGTATGTACATTATACATTGCAAACGTGTGTGCATTAACGATTAATAGCATCCGTGCTTTAATGCTTCGTCGACTAATTGGAAAAATTAATATTCTATTTGCCATTTCTTAAAGCGAATTTAAAAAATGATAATAACATTTTTATGCAGATTAGAATTTTTACACGGGTAACATTAAAATTTTAAACGCGATGATTTCTCTTACTCTTAATAATAAATTAACGAGTTAATTTATATAATCTTGTGATAAATATTTTAAATTTTCTTAGTTTTCTTATTTTAAATTTGTAAATCTCATTTACAAATTTCTTACATTGATAAATAGAGATAAATAGGAAATATCGTTAAATAAAAATTCGTCTAATATTTCGAATTAAAATAATTGAAAAGAAAAAAATAGGTAAAAAAAAAGAGATTAATTTCACGCTTATCTTATTTTCTAATATCATATTTTTCAGCGAATAATATCATAAATCCACTAACAACGTACAAAGAAAAAAAAAACATTAACTTTTTCTCAAGGTTCTTGTGCAGCAGAACATCTCATCATCGCCATTTTATTCAAAACACGCGACTGATAACAATTGTATTAACCTCATAACACATTTTATATCTCATTCTCGCTGTGGAATCGCTCTAAAAATCACGTAATCGAAAAATTTATTATCGATAAAAATAAAAAGCATAGTAAAAATTATTAATTATCTCTATTACATTAAAATTACATGATTTTTAGATATATATATATAATTATTATTATTATTATATTCATCGATAATTCTCACATCCATCTTCATCAATTGATGAGTACATAAGAAACTGTACCCAAATTGTCGCATCTGTTCATTAACATAAACATTAATTTCCTTTCTTCTTTTAATCTTCAGGTGATGGTGACCAACGTTACGTCTCTGTTGAAAACGGTGAAGGCGGTGGAAGATGAGCACACTCGTGGCACCAGGGCTTTGGAATCGACGATCGAGGCCATTGCTCAAGAGATCCGCGCGTTGAACACCCAAGAGATCCAAAAAACGAACGTGACTCCTGAAGATCTCGTTCGTTGCACGAAAAGCATCACGATGTCGACTGCGAAGGCGGTGGCTGCAGGAAACAGTTGTAAACAGGATGACATAATCGCAGCTGCGAACATGGGACGGAAGGCCATTAGCGACATGCTGACAATTTGCAAAGGAGCCGCGTATAATTGCGCTGAAACGGCCGAGTTGCGAGACAGAACGCTCCAAGCTGGCCACGATGTCGCTATTAATTATAGAGAATTGTTGCAAGCCATCCTTCAAATTGCGTCAAGATCCGGTGACGCGAAGCACACCCTGCCACCGATTAGTAGAAAGATAGCTCAAAGCGTCACCGAATTGGTAGCCGTTGCTGAATTGCTGAAGGGCAATGATTGGGTGGATCCCGACGATCCGACGGTCATTGCCGAAAATGAATTGTTGGGGGCTGCTGCCAGCATCGATGCTGCTGCAAAGAAGCTCGCCAGCTTGAGACCTAGAAGGAGTATACAGGTGAGTTTTGTTTTAAGATGTTATTGGAAAGACAGAATTATTCATTTGAGAAACACACATAATACGAAACAAATCCTGTAAAAGCCTAAACAAGTCGTCTGGTTTCCGTAAGATATGTTTGATATTCTTGGTTGTTTTTTAAAGAATCGACCAGGAATCAAACATATTATTATGGTGGTCAGAAAAATCGTCGAATATTCGTTGATGGTAAGATAATATTTAATTATTCAGGTATCATCGATATTTAATAGCGTTCAATTCGTGTAATGTTAACCAACTTCTTCTATATGTTTCGTTTTCTCTCTTGCAGGAGGCAAACGAAGACATGAACTTCGATGAAATGATCCTCGAGGCGGCCAAATCAATCGCTGCCGCAACATCAGCGCTTATAAAAGCGGCCAGTGCCGCTCAAAGAGAATTAATAGCAACGGGGAAAGTATCTCGAACACCTTTGACCAGTTCTGACGACGGCCAATGGTCCGAAGGATTAATTTCTGCCGCGAGAATGGTCGCAGCAGCGACTCACAGCCTCGTGGAATCGGCAAACGCTTTGGTACAGGGCGTCAGCTCCGAGGAGAAATTGATTTCCAGCGCGAAACAAGTAGCTAGCAGCACGGCACAGTTGTTGGTCGCTTGTAAAGTAAAGGCAGATCCGGACAGCGACAGCACAAAGCGTTTGCAAGCAGCTGGAAATGCTGTGAAACGCGCTACAGACAACTTGGTGCGAGCAGCTCAACAGGCTATTCAGCAAGAAGAGGACAGATCATTGATTCTGAACCGCAGAATGGTGGGTGGTATCGCTCAGGAGATAAATGCCAGATCAGAGGTTCTGCGTATTGAGAGAGAACTGGAGGAAGCTAGAGGAAGACTCACCGCTATACGACAGGCCAAGTATAAAAATCGGCCAGACTTGGCTGACACTGACACAGAACCTGAACAGAGCGGCTATGAGAGCTACACAACCAGATACGAGACCAGATCTTATGAGACTCAATCACAGATGAGTTATAGTATGTATCAACATCATTCTACATCGCACAATATTAGCCAACTTTCTATGGATAGACAGACTCTGGTCAGTCCAGAGAAGGTTCACTCTACGCAGAGTACATTAGAGAAGAAAAATATAAATTTAAATCAATATTAATGCCAATTCATTGAAAAAGAAATTAGATTTTGTTAAGGAGAATCGTACGACTTGCGTTTAAAAGTAATTAATCATGAAGTTTTGTAATGGAATTTTGATCGTATTTCGAATACTCCAAACAATAGATTGTGAATACGATTGTGGAACATATTCGATGAATATTCAAATTTCTACATTCGAAAGCAATATTATTAAATTTACGTCCATAAATATGAAACATATTCAAAGAGAAATATATTCGAATGGCAAGAAATATTCGAAAATTCAGAATTTTCTAAATATTATCACTTTTGTTATCTCGATACATCAAAATAATAATGATAGAATTGCATTAGTCTATGATAATCTTTGCGATGATACGATAGAAAAGTGCCCTTAGCTAGAATTAACTGTATGCTTTCGCAATTAGATTTTATAAGAATAATTCTTGATTCGACTATAACCGTCCATCTTTTCCACGAACTTATCAATTTAACACGAACAATGGTTGGAGAAAATTGCAAAGCACATTTTTCTACACATTTTTTGTTTCGACGATTTTTACTACTTTGATAAAATATTTACTTTTGCTCTTCCTTTTGAGATAATTTTTTGAGAAAAAAATATGCAATTGAACGCAAATTTACACAAGAATATTTATATTTACATTCTCGAGGAAGAGTTTAATGGATTTAAGATAATTTCATAGAATCTGCACTTTTTAAAATATATATTTATATTTAACTATTAAGAGAATAATCATACAAGATCAGAGGAAGAAAGATGTTTCTTTGAATCGATGTTTCTTTTTTTATTCTTTGGTTTTCTAGACAAACGATTTAATAGTCGTTATACACCTGATTTAATTTAGATCTAATTTATCATAATTTTAAGTTTAAGATCACAGATTAACAAGAAAAGCAACATATCATTTAATTTTATTAATTTTCCGACAATGTGTGGTCTAATCCCACAGAGTCTTCACCTGTTTTCCCTTAACATTTTCCGTTTTTCTTGGGATTAACATTATTATTTAAGTCTTTGTTCATTCTGACAATTAGTAATCGTTACTTGAACTTATGTTTCTTCATTACCTTTCTTTATTGTCTTTCTTACATTATCTTTTACTCGTTGCTCATCATATACGATGGCTTGATAATTTGGTGGTTATTTTTTACACTTTAATAAGAGATTTGATCATCAGCTTTTTTAAATCTAACACAACATAACAAAACGTAACACAAAGATTTGTAAAATCTTATGTATCGCCAAATCTTGCACATGAGTACTACGTAGGATAATTCTAAGTTTCAAGTAGATTTTAACAAATTTTAATGCGAGCAAATTTGAATAGGAAAAGATATATAAATGAGATATATATTGGATAGTTAAATGAAAAGACTATCTTTTTTATCTTTTTTCTTCTTATATATATATATTTTTTTTTTATAAAAGCGGTACAAATACAACAAATGTTAAATTATTTACTACATTTTTTTTCTTCATAAAATTGTGCAATTGTAAAATATTTAAAAAAAAAAGTGTCATACAATAATTTGTATGATTTATTCATTTAATTTTAATGAATAGATGATTGCACATAATTTCATTCTTTTCTTATTGTTGGATTTTTTAAAGATAAAAATCTCTATTTCTCAAGAAATTTAGATATTAAGTTAGAGTTAAATAGTAACTATATTTTATGATGTGAAAATTATTTTTCATTAAATTAAATCATAAAGTTTTTTTAATTTTTAGAATCATCTTGTATCATATTAAATGCAATTAACAATAACAAATAAAATAGCAATAGAATAAAATTAGATAAAATAACTAAAAGAACAAATAACTGCTGAACATATAAAAAACATTATAACAAAAATTGGACAAAATATTTATCGTGAAACGTCCTAGAATAGATCATTTATTTTTGTTACTGCGAAGATTAAGCTTTTTTGACAAGAAAAAGAAAAAAATAATATAAACACCGTAATGAAAATTAATATAAAAGTTATGCACATTTAAAGAGGCTTGATTAAAGTATAATTATAATATATATATATATAGATATTTTAATGAAATTTGTATAAAAATGCCAATAATCTTTTATAAAAGTGAAGTATATGTTAAAAAAGAATTTTAAATAGAAAATATATTTGTGCTTTTAATTAAAAGTCATAATTAGAAACAAAATCTTTAATTCTCTTGAAATTAAACACGAATTATGATTTTTATTAAATATAATTAATTCAATTATATGGATATTGTATCATTCAATATCATGGAATCATTGTCGAATTAAAATAAGCATTTGTAAAAAATTTTTTCTTTTTCAATTTTAGATTTATATATAAAAGATCACTTTATACACGAGAAATATATCAATTTTATACGTTTTTACAAATTTTGAACAATTTTATATATTGGAATTTATATAACAGCTCTATTACTTCTAAGCATTTTACTTCTAAGTAATTTCTTTATATATTTTTTTCTTGATCATGTGTTTGAACTTGAGAAGAAAAGTAATTCGATTTAGATAGAGGAAAGAAAAGAAGATGTTTCAAAGCGTGAAAAAAATATTCTTGAAAATTGATTGGAAGGTCTGCACAGACCTGTTCCAAGTGATTGATTAGTGCAATTATCGTTAGTCTTTCGAAGCTAAGTGAAGAATTTGTACATAGATGTTAGATAAATATTTCGCGTAAAAAGGAAAGAAAAAGATTTGACGAATCCATAAATGGTGAAAAAGAAAAAGTGCCTGAGTCTAATGAGCTGCCGCTTTTTTTCACGTGCTACGTAGAGAAATTCGTAAGATTTTCGTATATTACCAAAAATATCAGATGCTTTACTAATGTTCGATAGCATGATTGCAAAAAAAAAAAAAAAAAAGAAAAAAAAAAAAAAAAGGAAAAAAAGAGAAACGAAGATCCCTTTGTACGAAAAAACAAACATTCTCAGAGGAAAAAAAAAAAAAAAAAGAAAAAAAAGAAAAAAAGAAAAAAAAGGAAAAAAAGAGAAACGAAGATCCCTTTGTACGAAAAAACAAACATTCTCAGAGGAAAAAAAAAAAAAAAAAGAAAAAAAAGAAAAAAAGAAAAAAAAGGAAAAAAAGAGAAACGAAGATCCCTTTGTACGAAAAAACAAACATTCTCAGAGGAAAAAAAAAAAAAAAAAGAAAAAAAAGAAAAAAAGAAAAAAAAGGAAAAAAAGAGAAACGAAGATCCCTTTGTACGAAAAAACAAACATTCTCAGAGGAAAAAAAAAAAAAAAAGAAAAAGAAAAAAGCGAGGAGACAGATTTCTTATTATTATTGTTAAATACTTTTTTTTTTCAAAGGGATCTATATACAAGTATAATAAAATAAATATATATGTATATGTATATACATTATTGCATTTAGTGTTATATATTTTCAAAACGATCGCCAATCGTATTTTTATTTTATATACATATATACTTATAGAGTGCCATGATATATAGAAAATTAAATATTATATAAATACAAATAATAAACCTGGAGGAAATGATAGATAATTCTCTATATATTATTATGTATTAAATATGTATATGTCATTAAGATGTTAAAAAAGGAAGAAAGCGCAGAGAAAGAGAGAGAGAGAGAGAGAAAGAGAGACGGTTTTTACAAATTTTAAAACACTTTGTATTCATTGTTTTTTGACAATCCAGATTTATATACAGGATATTTTTAATCCATTGTATTTAATACAATTAATACGATTAAATCTTATCGTGGAATGTTATACGAGTTGTAATATTATATTATATTATTATATTAGATATATTATTGGTTTATTATTATTATTATTATTATTATTATTATTATTATTAATATTATTATTATTATTATTAATTACAATGTACGTACAGCTACGAGATGATTATGACGATGAATATTGTTTTATTATAATTATATTACAACGACTATTCTCGAATGTAGGTATTAGCCCTAATTATATTAAAAAATAATAAAGAGTTTCTAACATTTCATTGTCGTGGATCATTGGAAACTGTGTGTTTCCATTTCTTTATCATTATTTGTGTAATGAATGACAAAAGTGCGATATGTATGTATGATTTTAATTCTTTAAGTCCTTACGATACTTACTCGTGAAACTATAAATATTCTATAGAATTTGATTGCAATATAGAAAAATTATACATAAAAATATTCAGAACATTTATTTCTCGAATAATTTTCGAATATTTGATACAAAAATTTGGTAAAAAAAAAAAAGAAAAAAAATACGTAAATCAGGACTTAAAGAATTTAACAGGGTATTTAAATTATTTAATTGGATTATTTAATTATTCTGTGAAATCATTTGTGAACAATTAAAAAAGTTGATGCGAAATATACTCAATAATGTGGATTGAAACGATATAAGATATTTGATGATATTATGATTTCACGATTTGTTACGAGGTAGTTGAATAATAAGCGACGACAATGATATTTCCGATGTGTTAAAAGTCTTCAATTTTAAAAAAAAGTTTTAAATTATTTCTTTAAGAGATATTCGATGACTAGTTTTTAGCGAGTGCCTTGTCCAACGCTTTTGTTATAAACCTTGGAAGAATAAATGCTGCTCGATGCACTTGATCATTATAGTATTTCATGTTCATCTGGTCAAGCTCGGTGTCGTTGAAAACTTTTGTTGGCTCTTTGAAATTCGTTTCCTGAAATATACATATATTTATGTTTAATCTCACACTTGAAGATATATCATTGTGTGAAGAAATAAAATTATATATATTAAGAAAAATATAGGAAAAAGTAAAGAAGTATAGTAAAGAGAAAAAATTGAAATGTGAATTTACAGGATTTAATCCCCCGAGCACGAATCCAATTTGACCTGTAGGGTAGGTAGGCACGGAAACAACACCATAAGATGCAACCGGAAATAAAGATTTACAACGTTGTAACGTTTGTGTCACGTGATCGAGATTTAACCATGCAGTTCCCGCTTGACTGCAAACGATTCCACCTGGTTTCAATGCACTTTTCATCAGATTAAAGTATGATTCTTGAAATAGACACTCTGCCGGACCTATTAAATTAATAAACATTTTTCATCTCGTTTTTATCAACGAAAATTTCATTCGCACAAAAAAAATGTTTGTATCATATTTCTTATTTTATGAAATGTATCATTCACATAAATCTTCCATTTACAAATATGATATTTGATAATGTATTAATTTTATATTTAATAATATTTATTCATTGACATTCGATGACACGTGTTCACGTGTTCATAATATATTTTTAATTATAAGAAATCTACTTACCGACTGGGTCACTGCTATCGGTGATTATAACGTCAAATTGCCCACTATGTTGCTTCAAGAATTGAAAACCATCGCCTATGTTAAGCGTGACTTTAGGATGATCCAGTCCGACACCCATCGAGGGCAAGTACTTTTTCGATACCTCCAACACTTTTGGGTCGATTTCCACTTGCACGATCCGTTCTACCTGTGGATGTTTGGCTACCTCACGAGCAACTCCGCCATCTCCACCTCCAACTATCAAAACCTGACAAAAATAGAAACGCAAAGGAGGATAATGGGCTTGTTACAATTTTTAATTTTAATTTTAATTGAAATAAAGAAAAAAAAACACTAGAATAATTAAGAATAATTAAAAAGAATGTATAAAAAGTACTATAAGAAGATAATATAATATTAGAGATTCTTGTTTTTAAAATATTTGATCCACATAGAAACTTACAGTTTTTGGATTTGGATGGCTGCACAATGGTAGGAAAGCAATCATCTCCTGATACGAAAACTCGTCTCTCTCCGTGCATTGAATGATACCATCTAAAATTAGGGTCCTTCCATGTGATTTCCTGTATACGTGTAATTAAAACAAGTTCCTTTTGAAATAATGACAAATCACTAACTTACTTCAACTTCAATTCCTTTCTGCTTTCTTTTTTTCTATTTTTAGAATTCATATATTTTCATTAATATTTTTCTTAACAAAAAAAAAAAAAAAGATAAAGAAATTATAGCATTCAAAAATATATATATCCATATAATTACTTTTAAATTATTAAATTGTAAATTAATTTTATAAAAACATTCACACATTATTAGAATAAAAATATTGAAAATATCGATAACATAGAAAAAATAAATTTTGATATATCTTTATTTTTTTAAATTTTAATTTCGATATATTCCTTTTCCAATATCACATTTCCAATCATATTTCAAAGCAATCCTTTAATTTCCTCTAATTATTTTATTTAAGCAAGAACCCCAAAGGAAAATAAGTAAATGCGCAATATTTACGTTTCGAGCACCATCACGTCCTGATACTGCGATCGTTCTCGATGGAGTACCTTGACGACCTCGAGGGACAATGATACACCTGGCCACAGATCGTTAATTTCACTGAACCATCCAGGTTTGATCGCATCCATTTCTCTTTTTCCGCCTCTTGTTCTCGGTTTACCACACCGGTGTCCGTTCACGGTTTCGAGATTCAACTGGAAGTAGACACCGTCGGTCGGTTAATCGTGGACGAGGAAAATAAAAGTGCTAACTTTTTTATGCGGCCAAACATGTTTCCCTACGACACGGATCGCCACTTCCACTACAACTCCGGAGCGGGTAACTTGAAAGAAGAAATGGCGAAACTCGTTTGTCACTCGTGTATTCGTGCTGCTAGTATCCAGCTGTTGACCCGGTATATAGCTTGCTTTATACGTGTTGTTGTTTGTCACGTTATTAACCTTTTCCCCGAAAAAAAACAGTTTTTGTTGTGAATGGATGAAAAGGAGTTGTTGTTAATGCAAAGGGAAATAATCGTGTGAAGATTTGAATACTTATTGTTAAGCGGTTAAATGTAAAAATTATATGCGATGATATTCTAAAAGAAAAGTGTGAGAGACAAGTGTAAGAAGAAAGAAGTAATTCTTTGAAATTTAATTGCTTTAAATGGTTTTAATTATTATTGATATTATTGATTTTAATTTATGTGTCATCTGATCGTTTAAAGAAAATAATTTTATATTATAAATTTAAGTAAATTTGATTATTTGGAAAACGTTTGACAAATAAACATTATATCAGGTGTCTTAAGCATTATGTCTTATAAAGTAGAAAGCCACGTGTATAAATGTAAACATTCGACTATTAATTAGCAGTTGAAGAATTCAGATAATAAACACAATTCAAAAATTTTGGATCATAGTTTTAGTTTTATTAATTTTCGATTAATTTTTCTTATCAACTTGAAATTAATAGTACAAATTCTTGATTTCTTTCTTGATTATGTATAAACATTCGATTTTGTTTTTTTATGAAATAGTATATTCTAAATTATTGAAACTTAATGTATAAATATCACATGTATTATTTAATCACGTGTATTTAGCTAAGTCCTTCTTAATTCTAGTACAATTTAACGATAAAAACAAGTTTCTTCTCTCCTTTTTTTCATTCATAATTTTATTAATTTTTAGCGAAGCACAATTTTTATTATATTTAATTTTTATAAACTATATTTAAAATTATATTTAACATATTCGATATTCATTTTTATTTATTTATTTTAT